AAAAGATTAGCCAAAGAACATACATGCCTGACCCCTGGGCACGGAGAACAACGACGGTTTAGGGACTGCCTGAGGGAGGGGCGGGCTGGCTGGGGGTGGGCAAAGGGGGGGGAGCGGGGACAACTATAATAACATAAACAATTTAAAAATACCATAAACAAAATAACTTAAACCAAAAAAAAAACTGGAAAAAAGAAACAAAACAAAACAGGGCTTTGACAGGTTGTAAAATTCCAGTGGTGAAACCCTTTGGAGAACCTACCTGCTGTGGGATGCAGAGATGGTGAAACAGTGGCTGTCAGCTCCAGCTGCTCACTAGAGTCACCTGGGTCACTTTAAAACCAAGCTTGCCCCAGAGATGTGGCCCAGTGTCCCCTGAGGTTAGCATTTTTCTAAAGCTCTCCAGATGAATTGCATGTACTTCCTGGGCTGAGAAACCACTATGGTAGAGAAGAAAGCACTGTCTTTTTTAGTCACTGTAGCTGCTTATGTGGAAGCATTAAGGATTTGTAATTCTACCCTCCTGTCCCACCTGGAGACCCTCTCACTCCAGGCACTTGGAAGAGGGAGTCCTGCGGTCCCCACCGAAGCAGGAACTCCCTGGGAGCAGAGTCTGGTTTTCCTGATTCACTGCTACATCCTAGACCTAGAACAGAACTTGTCCATAGTGAGCCGGCGGGGAAGGCTGGCCAGCCAGGGGCCTTTATGGTGCTTGAAATTATTTTGAATTCTTGGTGGCTTCTCCTCCTTTGGTGTTTTTATTTGTAAGAGAAAATGGGGCATGGTGAGTTCTCTCGTTCTCGACCAGGAACTGTGAGAGTCGGATCTTAAGAGTGTGGGTCTCAGCTGGAACACATAGCAGCACTACCTGTGGCTGAAGACTGCAGATATCTGCACCCGCCTCCAACCCACCTGAATTGGATTCCAGGAGAGCGGGGTCCAGGCATGTGTGATTTTAATAATGTCTGGCTGAGAACCATCACCTGAGGGCAGTGGTTTCCAAAGTACCTGGCTCGTTGGCAGCAGCGTCCCCTGTGGGCTTGTTACACCTGCGGGTTCTCAGTCCTCCTGACGCACAGACTTGGGGGTGAGCCCCAGGCAGCAGTCTGGAGCTGACCACCTGAAACACCTCCAGGTGTTTCGATTGCTTACTCAAGTTTGGGAAACTCTTAAAGTGGGACATCTTTTAAAGTGCTGTGGGACATCTCTTTGGGCCTTGCTGCACAACTGAGTGTTTTTTTCTAAGCAGCAGTTTGGAGAAAGTGCCTCCATGAATGTCATTTAATAATTTCCTGGCTTATGACTCTGACCTCACCTTTCCTGCTGCACCTCTTTTGCCACATTAATTCATCAAACCCATTGGCAGCTCTTTCTCTGTCTCCTCCCTCCTAACTCCCGCTGGAGCATTTGCCCTTCCCTCTCCCAGCCAGGCCCCTCGGGGCAGCCTTCAGAGCCCTTCCTAAATTTTGGTCCCTCTGAAAACCCTTTTTTACTTCTTCTAGTGAAGTGCCCATTGCCTTCATTTTTGTCATTCTTTTGGGTTTTATTTTTTTTAACCTACCATTTCAGTGTGACCTCGGGCAAGTAACTTAACCTCTCTGTTTCCTCATCTGTGAAATGGGTATAAGAGTGCGTACCCACTTCATTACATGAGTTACCACGTGTCAAAGTACTTAGAGTAATACTCACCAAACGTAGTTTTTTATATCATTGAGTAATGGTTAACATCCCATAGTGCATGGTACACACTTAACACATGTCAGCATTTCTCACTAACAATTTTAGGTCACTAAGAATTTTGCAATTTTTGTTATTGTCTTTATCTCCCATTAGTTTTAAAGCTCTTTGACAGCCAGTAATTTTTCTTTCTCCGCTCTTAATGTCTTGACTTCCTAAAGTACCTAACATATGCTCAATAAGTGCATATGGAATTTTACTGAATTCCCCCAGAAACACCAGGAAATCCAAAGGATCCTTTCCTGAGCCTGTCTCCCATTTCCCCCTTGTTTGTGCCCTAAGTCCCTGGCTTCTTGATGATGTCATCCTTCCTCAAGCCCCTAGAAGAAGCAAGTGAGTTTGGGTGCCTAGCTCTTGAGTCTAACAGACTACATACTCTGCCTGGAATATCTTTCTCTCAGATAATGGATTCCTCTGAAAATGATTCAGAATGGCCTAGAGACCTTTCTTCCTGTCTTTAATTATGGTTTTTTTTTTTAGGATTTTATTCATTTTTAAAGAGAGGGAAGGGAAGAGAGGGAGAAAGGAAGGAAGGAAGGAAGGGAGGGAAGGAGGGAGGGAGAGAAACAGCGATCAGTTGCCCCTCGCACACCTCAAACGGGGACCTGGCCTGCAGCCCAGGCATGAGCGCTAACTGGGACCTGCAACCCAGGCATGAGCCCTGACTGGGAATCGAACCGGTGGCCTTTCAGGTCACAGGCCAGCACTCAATCCATTGAGCCACACCAGCTAGGGCTAATTATACTTTAAAGAGCAGATCTCTGGACCATGTTTCTGATTCCTTGTCAAGCAAATTAGTTCCTTTTTAATGCAGTGTTGTCCTCAGGCAGCAATGGGTGGAAAGATAGGGAATTGGTGCCTAGAGACCGTGGTAGTCTGGTCTTCTCATAAATAGATTGTAATGGGATTAGGTTTTTAGGCAGTGAAAGTAGAGATGATGACACAAAGGTTGAGGATCCCAGCTCCCGGGGGCTTCCTGCTGCTTTGTAAAGATGGCTGCCCTCGTGCTTGAACTTGGACTTCTGCAGAGTCTGAGTTAAGAGCATGGGCATGTCTGCAACTATAGATAGTGCTCAGTGGTCTCCATGGGGCAAAGTCATATCAGAGCCTGAGCCCTCACTTTGCAACCTGGGGCAAACTTTCCTTTTAAACAATTTGACATGTAAATGAATATTCCATCCTTTTAATTGCTGGATTATTACAAGCCAATGTGATTTTTTAAATTTCACATTTTTCCAACTGTTATTTTAATATTTTACACTTTTACTATGTTTACGATAGTTTTCTGATAGAAATGCCTTTTGTCCCTCTAAGGAAAGAATTATGAGTCACCTAAACAGAAATTGCTTCTAGATGTCAGTAGTGTTCACTGAGTTATGAGGTATGTAAACTTAAGCAAGGCATTTGGTGAAGTCTATCCTGATGTCCTTGTAGAAAAAAATCTGTGGAAACAATGGTAAAGATAGGGGGATTCATAACTGAGGAATGACTAGACCCAGAGACAGCTGGTTAATGAATTAGTGAGAGCTTGGAGTGGGGTCGGGGTCAGGGACAGGCAGGGAGCCGACTATAACACTCGTCCAAGGCCTCTGTCCTCCCCGCTGGCCCAGTCCACATTCTTAATAACTACTTGATTGTAGGCATTTGTGGCATGTTTGTCAATTTGAGATTTACCCTATTTCTATGGGATGATGAATATGTTCTCTAAAGAATCTAGATTCTAGGAGGTACCCACGACTCCTCACCCAGCCTGTCCCCCGGTGCTACCGATTTTACTCCCTCAGTGCTCCTCGAGCACATCTTCTCCCTCTCCCTTCCTCTAGGCTCTCATCACTTCTCCCTACCTCTGTTACCCTCTCAACAATAAGAGCACTTCAGTGAACATGTTTGCCTGATCTTGTTGCTCAAAATAACCCCTCGGTGTCATTCCCTTGCCTACAGAAGAATGTCCAAGCTCCTTCACAGAGACTAGGAGGTTCTCTGTCCTGGCCATGGTGCATCTCTGGTCTCATCCCCTGCCCTTCCCCACCTTGAATTTGTGCTATGGAGACATCAGACTGCCTATAGTTCCCCACGTGGTCCATTCTGCTTCATGCCTTTGAACCTTTGCTCTGCCTTTGGTGGTCCCAACCCATTCTTCCCCTTTAAGACTCAGATTATCATTTACACCACTATATTGGAATTACCTAGTCATTCATTTCTCTTTCTCAAACCAGACTATAACTCCTCAAGGGTAGTGTTCTTTTTTTTAATTTAGTACCCAGCACATGGTAAGTAGGCTCTAAGTATTTTTTTTTTTTTATCAAAACTGAGAATACAAAAAGATATTGGCAATCTAAAAGGCAGGCCATAAAACTTAACAGCGAGATAAAATTTAACAGGCTATACTTGGGTTTAAAACAAAGAAAGAAAGAAAACGAGTCTAGATCTAAGTACCAAGTACAAGGTGGGATAAAGATGACTCACCAGCACTTGTAGACCATGCAAGAAAAGAAAGGCTGTGGTTTCAGTTGACTTTAAGCTCCTCATGAGTCAACAGTGTGATGCAACTCCGTAACCTAGTGTCAGAACAGGGAAAGTGATGGTCCTGCTGGTCAGACCCCTTGGAAAGGTCACGTTCCACACTCTGGGGCCCTACCGTAAGAGGAGGCGACGCATGTCCAAAGGAAGGCAGTTAGAATAGGGAGTAAGGTGAACCCCATCAGATAGTAAATGGTTGAAGAAAGTAAGGGTGTTTCATCTGGAGAAGACAGAGGGGGCATAATAACTGTGGTCAAATGCCGAAGGGCTCATTGGGAATCTCAACATGCAGAATTAGGCCAGTGGGATCTTCTCACAATGGAATAGTTGATCATGTGAGCTCCAAGTCCCTGTAGGGCTTCTGCAAAGCGGTGCTATAGAGGGGACCTGAGCCCCCAAAGGCAGTTTGGACTAGATATCCTTTTATCCTGCTCAACTTTGAGACGTGGTGATTTAAGAGGTCACTCAGTTCATAATGATTGAATGTTGGGGACGGCGCAAGGAGAACATCTTCTGATAGGGGTATCTTATGTCCCCCTTGGGGAAATTATGAGTTACCTAGACAAAAATTGCTGCTGGGCCAGAAGTCTGAATCTTAGTGGCTGTCACTCGTTATATGTGTGAAATGTACTCAGAAAAGATATCTGACAGTCCCACCGAGTGTAACCACACCCTTGCGTTTTCGTAAGTCCTTTTGTGGAACTTTGAATAAAGTGAGTACCTTTGGTGTTTTTGCTTTTTAGTTCCAGAGCATCTTGGCTTGTGGGAGGAAGTCAGAAAGATCATCTCAGGATCCGAGCTAATAACAGGATTCCCCTACACCTTCACGGTGCCGGGCCTTCCCCAGTACCTCCAGAGCCTCACCAAACTGGCCATCGCTGCGGTGTGGGCAGTGGCGGTCCAGGCTGGAGAGCAGACGGGGGGTGTTCCCATCTCCTTCTCTCAGCTGCTGGAGTCTTCCTTCCCCGAAGTGCGCCTGCTGACACTGGAAGCCCTCTTGGAAAGGTTTTCAGCAGCAGCCTCTGGATTAGGAGAGAAGGAACTGCCACCCTTGCTGTGGAATATGGGAGGGACGTTCTTAATGTTGGCTGTGAAGGAAAAGCACACAGAATGCTTCTGCAAGGTAAAGTCTCTGGTGTACTGACCACCCCCCTGACCCCCAACACTTTTTGATAAGCCCACTGGCGTGCTCAGCTCATGAAGGCAGGACTGGGTTTGGCTTCTCCAGGAGCAATAGGAGGGCGATTCAGCATCAGGAGGGCAAGGACTCTTTTCTGAGACTTGGCGCAGCTTTGTGTATAGATGGACACTAGAAAAGCGTTTGATGATGACAGTATTGATGACAGAAATTAACCAAAGGCAGATCGAGAGTAAGCCACTGAATGCTCCAGGAAACAGCATTGACACTTAGCAGTAGAACGTGTCAGAGGGTAGTCCTTGCTGACGTGGCCGCTTGGGGGCAGATAGCCACCTAGAAAGCGTAATCAGAAGGAAGGGACACTGACCTCAGAATCTAGACATCCTGACTGATCCCAGATCACTAGGGCCCCTCGGGTGTGTCCCTGCTCCACCCTCTCTTGGTGTCCCAAAGGTATTAAAAGGGAAACAAGAAGTCAGAGCTTTTTGAAAGAGAGACTCCCCTTATCGTTAGTGATTATCATTTAGCTTCTGGAGACTTTGTCCTGAAGTGGTTTTCTTTCTCTTTTTTTCATGGATCTGGCTCACACAGATACTGAAAATTCTCCATTGCATGGACCCCAGTGAGTGGCTTCCCCAGACAGAATGCTGTACCCGTCTAACCCCCGAGGAGTTCTTGAACTGGACAATGGAAATTGCTTCCAATGAAAGGTTTGTCCCCAGTGCTTGCTGTGTAGGCTCGGTTCCTCGTGTGGGCCTGTCAGTCAGTTATGTAATGAATGTGAGCACAGTCCTGGCCTAAGGATTCAGACCCTGTGTGTCTTTCCAAATCTCCACTTAGAAGCATGTTCTAAGCTCAATCAATAGAATGATGTCAGAGTATTACATTCATAACCGAAAGGTAATCACTTCTGGAGGTGTTTGTATAACTGTGAGGTGGAGATTTCTGGCATTCACATCCGCATGGATTACAGACTATCTGCAAAAAGCATCTCTATATAAAATATGTCTGATTTGCTTTTGGGGGTGTTTCTGGCTTACTTTTTCTAGGTCTGAAATTCAAAGTGTAGCTCTGAGACTTGCCTCCAAAGTGATTGCCCACCACATGCAGATGAGTGACGAGGTAAGGCTGATGCTGCCCTGGTGCTGGGTTCTAACTTTCTGTGCTCTTTTTTACCTGGACGGTCTCAGTAGGCAGAATCACCATGGTCTGTGTGTGTAACCTCTACAAAAACATCGTCCATGTTGATGTTTCACTTTGATGTTTCTCCTGTTCTGGACACATTTGATTAGAGGCCATGACAATAACACAATCTCCTCCCCACCAACACACACATGCCCAGACCTTAAAGAAGCTTTAAGACAAATAGAGACAGACTTAGGGGTATATGAAGAAGGTGCCAGCACCACAGAATTATTAGAAGTAGAAGGCAGTCAATACAACCACGAAATAACTTGAGGATCACGGTCACACATTACCACACTCTGACAGTGTTGGCATAACATTGCAAATTCTGATTCCTGACAATAAAGCAGTGCTGAGAGAGGTCCTGGAGACACAGAGATGAAGAGAGACAAGGGGAGACAGTCCAATGTGAAGAAAGGAGTGTTCAATTACGACATTAAATGCTCCAGATGGGATAGGGCTGTGGGAATCCCGGGGAGGGAGGGAATGTTTGGGGAGCTGAGGAAGACTTCACAGAGGAGATTGTTAAATCCAGAGAGCCTGGAGGTGGAGAGAAAGCCAGAGGGGGAGAATTAAGCAGAGACAGTTTCCTTCGGTCTGTTATTCAAAGGCAGGCCAGGGGGCCAAAGCCAGGTGGTCACTAGGAGATACAAAAACCAGAAAAGGAAAATGAGGATGTTTGTAGGAAGGAATAGAATGTGCTTTAAAAAACTATAGCCCAGAGCGGGGAAAAAACAAGTTTTGAGAAAGTAGTCAGGAGGCAGCTGTTGTCTGCCAAAGATACTGTTCTCCTCTAATGCCATTTTAGCCATTTGTCACAAGTATATTAATGAATAAGCTGATATTTGATGAACATTGGGAGTTTTCCAGGAAGAGAAATATTAGCAGAATTTCAGAGAAACACATAAAAGAAACTCCTGGGAAAACCTGGGTTTCTTTGTGCTTTGGATTGAGAGTCAGAATCTTCCTCGAGGTCTACGATGCTCATCAGTTCTGTTCCATAAATTATCAGAGGAGCCAGTAACCCCATATCGAAAATTAAAGAGGCTTAGTTGGTAGGGGAAGTAAAGTACATTTGGAACAATAACCCCCTTTTAGGAAAAGTTAAAGAAAGGGGGGGCAGAATATAGAGACAATTGTAATAGAATAAACATGATTTATAAATTTTTTTAAAATTTTTTTTTAAATCAATTAAAAAAAATTGAGGTCACACTGTGTGCCAGACACTATTCTAAATGGTGGGAATGCAGAAGCGAACAGAACGGATACAGTTTCCTGCCTTCATGCAGATTGCATTCTTGTGTCAGACAATAAGTAAGCAAATAATTAAATACAAAGAAGGAAATAAATATGGTGATTAACAGGGGAAAAAAAAGGTAGAAACAATTCAAATGTTCAACTGCTGAATGGGTAAACAAAATATGATACAGCTATATAGTGGAATATTATATAGCCATAAAAAGTAATGACATCCTCATACATCCTACTAGATGGGTGAACCTTAAAAAAACATAGTAAGTAAAAGAAGCCAGTCACAAAAGACCACATATTGTATAATTAAGTTTACATGAAATATCCAAAAACAGCAAATCCATAGAGACAGTAGATTACCAGTTTAGGGCTAGGGGAAGGGACAGAGGACAAGATGGAGAATGGTTATAGAAGAGCATGAAGGTTCCCTTTTTGATGATGAAAATATTCCAAAATTGATTGTGGTGATGGTTACACATATGTGTAAATATACTAAAAACCATTGAATTGTATATGTACCTCAATGGATAAATTAGACCGCATGTGAATTGTATCTCAATAAAACTGTTAATATAAAAAAAGTAGGGCTCTGTTTAACTATTAATGTCAATTAGGATGCTGTTTTAAATGTTGTAACAGAAGCTCATAAATACAGCGACATAAACCAGGTAGAAGCAGCCCCAAGCAGACAGGACAGCTTCACGGTGTTGGACCCCCAGGCCCTCAGCCCTGATGGCCTGCTCTCCTCGCGGTGGGCCCAGATGGTTGCTCCACCTCTGTCATCGCGTCCTTTCCAGCTCGCAGGAAGGGAAGGTCTCACCTGTTTCCTGAAACCACCATCCCATTAGTCAGAACTTAATCACATTACTCCCAAATTCAAGGGAGTCTAGGAAACGTAGTCTTTAGCTGGCTCTCCGTATGCCCAGCCAAAATCTGTTCTATTATTAAAGACAGAAGAAGTATCTGGTTATTGGAGATAAGTATTATTTGTTTCCACTGTCCTTCCCCAAGTTTTGTCTTTACTGATGGTATCAAATACACCAGTTTTCTGAAAACCTGATTTGCATCGGAAATCAGTCAAGAAACTTGCTTGCCAGTTATAGTGACTCTGTATTGCTGAAACACAAGTCAGATTTTCTTCCCCGGCTTGTTTATTTTTCCCTAGTTGGGATGGAAAAACAACTGAAAAACCTTTCTTCCCACTGTGGCAAGAGGTAATTTGCAGATCCAGTTAGGTGTATGTAGCTCATCCCTCATTTCATGATTGCATCTTCCGAACTGCTATACGTTTTGTGCTTTCAGACCAGGGACTTGGTAGCTCCCAAACTGCAGCAGTGGGTTCACTTGGTCATCTCATCTTGTGGAGACCATCTTCCCACGGAGTCCAGGCTGGCAGCTGCTGAAGTCCTCACCAGCACCGCACCACTGTTCCTCACCAACCCCCATCCCCTTCTTGGTAAGTGCAGCGCGCAGGGTGTGTCCATTGCACCGAACATGCTCAAAGTGTGCACGGATACTCTAGGTGAAAAGAGCAGGATAGATGAAAACTGACAGTGTGCACTATACCTTTACACCTTCCCAGTTCCTTAGAACTAGAGCTTAGTTCCTACTCTAATCACTTTTCACCAACAGCCTCATAAGTGGCGTCTTTTCTTTCTCTCTTTTCCCCCGAACCTTTCTCCTTATGCTTCCAAAAACTTCTGTGGTCTTTCTGAAATACAGGTCTCATCATTTCACTCTACTGCCTAAAGCCTTTGAGTGGGTTCCCTTTGCCTTCAGGATAAAATCTAAATACCCTTTAACATAGGTTATAAGTCTCTTCCTGTTCTGTGCCCTGCCTACCTACCTACCCCTCCCTTCTCATCAGCCAATGTGGGCACTATGAGTCATCAGTAGGGAACAGTTCTATAAACAAAGTGCTGCTTGACTGGCTTCTTTTTGTCTTTTCAAGACTAGAACTAACCGTCACCTCTTCCAGGAAGCCTGTTGCAGTGATCTTGGTGCCATATGAATGGGTCAGTGTGAAGCTGTGCCATTGAGGAAAAAGAAAGGACAAGCTGGAAAGGATTTAGGAAGTTGAATCATGACTTGGTATTGAGGTGCATATAAAAGGAAATTCAAGGATGACATCCGGGCTTCTGGCTTAAGTGACTAAGGATTGCTGGTGCCTTTCACTGAACTTAGTTTTAAGTTTAAGGCATCTCTGTGACAAAAAGGTAGAGAAATTCTGAAATCACTTGGATGGACAGAGCTTAGCTGGTTTCCAGCCATGTTCTCCACCTTCAGGTCTCTCCTCACCGCCACCCCTGTCCTTCAAGAGGAATGATTAGGAAAGAGCGTCATATCAACGGTGTTTGAGAACAAGCAGTAAGCTTTAGGAAATCCTAAGTAATTCAAAAGCATGGGGTGGGGGCGTTGTTTTTGTTTTAATTTTTAGGAGTTTTTGTAAAGTGTGGTGTTCTATTTTTGAGCCTAGGGCTTAATAAAAGAATAGCCCGGCACCTAACGCCATGCCTCAGCCCCGACTGCCCCTTGTCCTCTCCTGCCGCCTTCCCCCCGTATTACCGCACTCTGGTTCTCTCCCACCCGTTACTGGAATTCTCGTCACCTCTTCCATGCTCAGCCCTGGAGAGTAAACCGCAGTTCCTGGGTGCAAGGAGCTTTCAGTGCAGTTGCAGAGACAGGATCTAGAGAATAGAGGAGAGAATTGCTTTTCTAGATGGTGAGATGCAGATTTGAAGTGTTAGTGGAGTTCAGAGCAATGAAATCTCTCATGACCCTGGAACTCCCTGGGAAACAAAGTTGTCTTTGATGTCCTCTTAATTCTTTCTTCTAAGTGACTCTGAGACATTTTTCCTATGTCCAAATGGGGACTGAAAGGGGACCTTCTATGATTGTGATTTAGTCATTGGACCCAGAGGAACAAGAACAAAGGTTTATGAACTTTGGTGAAGTTTCTACAGTGAGAGCAGTATTTTGGAGCACACTTTCTGGGTAACTCTGGCCACTCTAATCCTAGCTCCTCTCATGCAAAAATGTGTGTGGAATTCCTGAGCGAAATTGAGTCCAGGGCAAAAGCCATTGGTTCATAATTACCAGAGATGGTTATAGCACTATAGGCCATAAGGAAGGAGGCCAGTGGTGGCTGGTAGCCTACAAGAACTTGAAAAATAGGTGCAGAACTGAGACACAAAGGACATAAAAGTGCATGGACAAGTCAAGGACAGAACAAGGTCATTTAAAGAAAAAGAAAAATTGAATTGGACTAAAGAGGGAAGACTGAGGTTTTTGAGGGCATAACTGACCATGTTAAAGAGGAAAATATTAAACCCTAGAGAACATTAAAATGGATAGGTTCTGAAAGACTGAGTAAAACCTAAAGCCAGGCCTATAACAGAAAGGAAAGATCCAAACCGCAGAGGGAGCCATGCAGCTCTTGGTATGAATGAAGAAGCATCAGTGACTCTGATATCAGGTCCTCCATGGGGACATCAGGAAAGGACAGGCGAAGAAGAGCTCTTAGGACAGGGCTGGTTCTCCGCTGAAGGCCGGGGATGATGAGGAGTGGGCTTCCGTGGCCCGCCATGGTGACGCTCCACAAGCCTGGGCCCCCCCCCGCCGCCCGTGCAACATGTGCCCTTTCTACAAGGGCCTGCCCACCTCTCGCCTCCTTCATGAAGTCGGCCTTGGTTGCACTGTGATCTTTCTCTTTAGTGAGTCACAGCCACACGTTTCCATACCTGACTTCTCATTGCCTTGTGTTCATTGGCTTAACGTTCCCTCTAGGTGCTCAGAAATAGCCACCATCTTTTCCTGTTTCACCATCCATAGCAGCACCAGCAGAGGGACTAGACAGAGTCCCTGCCCAGGGATAATGGCATTTGGGTAGCAGGCCCCACAGATACACGGTATGGGCTGGTGCTTTTATCCTGGTTCCTTGCCCTTTTTCGATTCTTGCCCAGAAGCATACTCTTGATTGAAACTTTGCTTTCAGAATTTATAAGCTCAAACAGTCACTCATATCAACAATGGGCTAGTTTCCCCAGAGTGGGCTTGACGCATAGTGTTTCATTCCTGAGAACTGTGAGTCACTGTGGACAGCTAGGCCCAGGGCCTTAGTCAGCCAGGTTGCACCTTCTGGGGGGCCCTGCCTGGGGCTAGTTGCCTCCACAAACCTTCACCCATCAAAAAAAGAGAAAAAGACACTTCCAAACCTTCCCCTTTATGGCCCTCTCTCTTCCAATGTTTACCTGACTCTCAGATCTCTCTTTCTTGTAATACCCAGAAAAAAAGGAATGGCTGTTGCTCGTTAAATACTATTCTCCACCACAGATTTTATGTGGTATTTGTACCTGCTTGTAAATTGCATCTTAGGTCATTAGAATTCCTTTCTGTCCCCTTAGGGCTGCAGGACACACTTGCCCTCTGGAGGTGCGTCCTTACCCTCCTGCAGAGTGAAGAGCAAGCTGTCAGAGATGCAGCAACGGAAACGGTAACGACCGCCATGTCACAGGAAAACACCTGCCAGTCAACAGGTACCTCCTTCTTCTGCTTCTGCAGTGCTTTATTGCTCTTAGACAGGGGTTGACACACTTTTTCAGTAAAGGGCCAGAGAGTGAATATTTTAGTCTTTTGGCCATTCAGTCTCTGTCTCAACTCTGCTGATTTAGTGGGAAAGCAGCCTTAAACAGTAGGTAAACATGCGGGCATGCCTGTTCCGATAAAACTTTATTTACAGAAACTGGTGGCTGCTCAGATTTGCTCTTCTAGCCATAGTTTGCTGATTCCTGCTCTAGGATACCATAGAGAAAAGTTATTTTCAAAGACAGAAATCTAATAAACAGTGTCTTTTGTTAGTTATATTATCATCCTTTCTAAATAAAGTCGTCTTTATTATCTGTGTGATTACATAACCCAGGAATCATAGCTCCATTATTGTGTTCCTCCATGAGTTTTTATACCCTACAGAAACATATGAGTATAAGCCTAGAGGTCCTTTTGTGCCATGGCTCCTCTTTTGATGGCGATGTTAACCCAGGAGCTAAGAGGGGAGCAGCCTGGGAGGATAGTTCTGAGTTCACAGCCACTCAGCTTACACTATGAGCTGTGATGCCTTGGGCCCTGGTTATCTGTTTATGATGGCACATGCTATGGAAGCCAAAGGGAACTGTTGTCTGTGGGTAGAAAGGGGGTGCTGGATAAAAGGGACAGGAGGTAGATGGAGTAGAAGGTCATGCCTCTGGACCAGTGGCCATCTGGGAGGGTGACCTCTCTGGCGGCCTGGGACTCCCTACTCTTGGGACTGGGTGTCAGGAAAGATCACTGGGTCTGCCGTCCCAGAGAGAAGCAAGCGTACCAGTTTGAGGCAAGGGGGTCCCAGGCTGAGCAAAGAAGTTTGCCTTAGTGGACAGCAGAGCCGGAGGGGAAATAGCCAAGCAGCATTTGTAAGGAGTGTGGGAGCCCCTCATCCCCACGGTTAGGGCTGCGGTCCCTGGAAACTCCCCTTGAGATGTGTGACCTTCTTAGTACTGTTGTAATGGTCTGGGTACTTTTCTCTACAGATGTGGCAAAATCTAGTTTTTAATAATCTCTCAATGGTACTACTCTAGAGCGGGTTCCGCCAGAATCAGCTTTGCCTCTCTGTGGGAAAACCTTCAGATCTGTGCTGCTAGTGGTGTGCAAGCAGCCTTCTCCCCTCCCCCACCCCAATCTGGCCAAGCTCCTAGAGATCTAAAGTTCTACCGCTATTACTTCGGTCCTTTTCCAAATTTTGCATTTTCCTTAGAAAGACTCACAGAGCACCTAGCAAGTACTCCATAAATATTTAGTGGAATATAATACTAGATTTGTCTAGAACCTTCTCCACCAAAGCTGGGAATGATCATTTCATAGTGGAATTCTTAGGTGGACATCTCCTTCCTAATCTTTATAGTCTTTGCCCTGCTGCTATGACTGTATCTTTCAGAATTTTCCCAAACTTATTTACGTAAAACTATATTAAGTTCTCCCTCCTAATTTGAGTTTCTTCTCAAGGAATAGAAATCAGAAATTATAAATTGAGTGCCTTTTGCATGTGAAATTCCATATGTGAAATCCTCTGAGGGAATAATAAATGTAAAATGCTAGCTGTCCATCTTTCTATTCTTCATCTTGGTCTATAAGGAAGGATTTGAGGTATGAAAAGACAATAAATCTATAACAACTAAACGTAGTATTGTATGTTACTCTGGGCAAGAGCCTGTACTGGAGGGGTGGAAAGCCATATAGGAAATTATGAGAATAACTGACAACATTGAAATATTATCTGGAGATTAAAATCAATGTTAAATTTCCTGAACTTGAGAACTGTGCTGTGGTTTTCTAAGAGAATATTATTGTACTTAGGAAATCCACAACTGAAATATTAGGTGGTAAACAGGCACAACACCTGGCACTTACTCTCAAATCGTTCAGAAAAAAATAAAACTGTGTGGGCATATAAGTAGTAGACTCAGGTATGGAATTTCTATAGTTGTATCTTTTCTGTAGGCTTGAAGTTATTATTCCACAATAAAAATTTTTAATCCAATTCCACAACTAGAAAAGACCAGCATGGTGAATGGTGATAGATCATCTCACTGGTTTATCAGCAATTCAGCCCCCAGTGCAACTCCTGTAATTTTCTCCTAAATAATACCAAAACATTGTCCCCCTCCCTTTTTTCAAACACATTTTGAATGAATTTTTTGCATCCAGAAACATCAAACTCAAGCCAGATTCTTCCAATTCAGAGATCTCAGCATCATATTGCCATTTCTGGGGGGAACGCTCAGCACTTCCCTGGGTATTCTCTGTGCTGCCTAATCGCAGCGCTTACAGAACCTCCAAAATAAACATGTTTGCTTAGACCAAAAAGTAGCTGAGGACTGAGGGTCAGGCCCAATTTTTCACTGTAGTCAGAAGTTTAGCCAGCTGATTTATCAGAACAACATTTTCTTATTTTGACATCTCTCAAGGACATCGGCAGCTGATGGTAACTTTTCACATTCCTTCAGGGATTTTGTAGAATACACTTCTAATGGTTTGCTCTTTGGTGTTCCAAGCTAGTTATCACTATTAAATCTTGAATTCCTTGGAAGTATATGTCATTAATTTTTGTCCCCGAATCAGTGGTTTAATTAACTATCACAGTAAGATAATATTAAATTATGTTAATATATATTAAGATCTTCTTTGAGAAGGCTAAATACTGTTTGAAATAAATTAATTCTTACTTCCCCTGGCAAGAAGAAAATAAAACGTGAGGATTCCCTTCCTCCAAGATTTCATCCCATGAATGATGGCTGGTCGAGGACAGGGGCAGCTTTGCGCCACGCCGTCCCACAGCCTTCTGGGGATACGGGGACGTGCGAGGTACATATGGGGTCAAGGGAGGTTCCTGAGGGTACAGCTGGCCCAGAGGAAGGGACAAATGGGACACAGATGAGAGCATTCAACACAGAAGGAAAAGCCAGAGCCACAGCTTGGAGTTAGGGGGAACTCGGGAGCTGGTGGGGTGGCAGTGTGTGGCCTGGTGTGGCCAGAACACGGGCTGAGGCCCGGGCAGCAGAGACGGAAATAAAGCTAGAAAGGCAGGGCACCCACACCCGGGATGATTTTCAGTGCCAAGCCAAGGAGCTTCTCTAGGTGAAGCAAGGCTGGAGAGGGTTTAAATGGAGGCAATATTGCCAGAAACGGGTGTGTTTGAGATGGGGACCAGGGCTGGTGAGTGAGGGAAATTTCCAGGCATAAGCCGCCATCAGTGGTAATGGGGGGGTGGGTAGACTCAGCAGGATTCGGGGGCTGGTGCCTGTGGGAGGCTGGAGACAAGAGGAAGCGAAGACGACTTCAAGGTTGCAGACCTGCAAGATATCCATGGGAAGATACCGAGCCGTGCCCCCGGCACTGACGGAGCAGTTGGGCTGTGGCGTTCCAGGAAGTGAAGCTGCACAGAATCAGGAAAGGCACTTAGAGGCTGCAAGTCATTGTGATCTGGGACAAATTATTCCTCAGGCCTTGGAGAGATCAGCAATGGAAACTGAGAGAGCAAAGGGGGACCTTTATGTGCTGTAGGAACAGAATGAACTGTCCGGCTTTGCCCTGCCCTCCCAGCACACGGCACAGTCACCTGGGAGCCCAGCACTCCTTACTGGGCGGTATTGCTCCCGGGGGCACTGGTTAGAAACTGTCGAAGAGGGAAATATTAACCAGGTATTCATCACCCTAGCATGTCACCTTGAACACAGTTGCCTTTAGGTATAGATTTGTGGACTGAATTGGTCATTGATTCTGGAAGGCCCACAGAAGACAATTCTATATTTACATAGCCTTCATGAGGATGGATTTGTTGTTCACTCACTTCTTTAATTAATTTTTTAGAGGGAGGGGAAGGATAAAGAGGGATAAAGACAGGTAGAGAACCATTGATCAGTTGCCTCCCACACGTCCCCAGCTGGTGACCTGGCCTGCAACCCAGGCATGTGCCTGACCAGGAATCAAGCCCGTGGCCTTCTGGTTCGCTGGGGGACACCCACGCCCCTGAGCCACGCCAGTCAGGGCTTGTTATTCGCTCTCTCTGCCTGCGGATTTCTCCTGCGATCCACGTGGTCACCTGGAAAGTGAAACTCAGCCTATTAGCAACAGTCTGAGCACCACCTGAGGGTCCCTTCACTTTGGAAGGAGGACCTAAAGAAGCTGTATCAGAGAGACCCTCTCCACTCCTTAACTCCACTCTCTTCTGTGCTGGTACCACGAAGAGCGACAGAAGAAATGGCATTTCTAGGACTCAAGAGCAGGACATTGAAGTTTGCAGCTAGGTAACAAAGCATTTGGGCAACATTCCAGGAAAGGCCCCATCTTGCGCCTTTCCCTGTTCTGACTTGACCTCAAGCCTCGTAGTACTCTGGGAACAGCTCTAGTTTCAAGAACAGGAGACAGTCAAGGCCATTGGCTCTGTGCATCCCACTTCCCTGGGCTCCCCCCACCTTCCACTTAAGCAGTTCACTTTCTGTCTCATACACTAGATCAGAGTTTCAGGTCAGTTTCATTTGAAGGAGGACTTCTATGTGAGGAAAAAACAACCTGGACAACATTTAATTTTTAATCACCAAATCTGGGTGATTCTCAAGCTAGGCAGAGTTCTGGGGGGAAGCAGCAGGCTACATTTGGACAGAAGAGAGGATAAAAAAAAAGCCCTTAAAAAAAAAAAATCTCTAGAGAGCTAGAAAGTGGTCAGAATCCAGCAATTTGGGGTTTAGTCCATGGCCTTTCCCTACCAGCCCGAGTGTTGGAGCCGTTCATTTTCGGAGAGCCCTTTGTCTCCAACGCAGGGTTTTGGCGGGTTTAATGTGCTATGCTGCGGAGTCAGCCTTGCAGGCTCCTGGGCAGGAGGACAGAGTCCCGCAGGATGCCTGGCTCTGGTGGCCCAGCGGGCTATAGGGTGTGGCTTCCTGAGCCCCCTTCTGAGAGCCCTGCCCTCCCCAGCATGGGGTCTCCTTCAGGCAGGAGGAGGCCTAAT